TGGGGTGATGAAAATGTTCTAAAATTAATCAATTTATTTGTTCCACAACTCTGAATATACTAAAAAACCATTTAATTGTACACTTTAAATGAGTGAATTGTATTGTATGTGAATTGTATCTCAAGAACACTACCAAAAAAGGGTTCATAGAGGCTAGATGCCTCCAACCCCTTCTGACCTTATGGTAGGCTCCTTGCCCTCATTCATTTATAGTGAAAAACCTCCCGATCTTACCTGCTGTTCTCAGATCAGCCTGTTGACTATTTGTGGTGTTCTCCTGTTCTCAGGCCCACAAGCTGCTATAGTATTTACCTGTCTCTTCTGCACATTGTCAATAACAAGCAGGCTTGTGGCTGTTGGTGCTCTGTTCCACTCACTTGTATTTTGGGATTCAAGGGAATATTCTGTCACCTACTTTTGCTGTAAATGCTGTCCATGGGTTTTTCGTTTTGCCCTCTAGTTGCTCTGTTCATATGTGGGGATTCAGAATGATCCAAAAGTACCTTAGCATTGCTGCCACCATCTTCCTAACATTCCAGTAGGGATGTTTTGTAAATAGCACTGGTCTTAAATATTTTCCCCCAGTTTACATTTGCTGCTTGTCACCTAAGCAGCATGGATGGGTGACTTGGAGACAGGGGGATGAGGGAATTTAGGGGATGATCTGTATGCATGAGCTGCTGCCACACTTTCTGCTCACCAAGGAAATTTGTCTCTCTCTGTTTTTACAGCCTTGAGGGGCTGTGGAATGATTGGACCATCTCAGGATGTTATTAATATTTCCTCCTAGGCTTCTTCAACAGTGCAATCCAGTTGGCTTATTTCTCAGAAAATACTGCTACGGTTATCTATTCTGGCATGTAAAGTGGTTACTCAGAGTCGGGGAAAACGAAGTTGGACTAAAAAAACGGACCACCTCAACCACTCAGCCACAATGCATTACCAAAAAGCACTTGAAAAAATTAAGGGGAACAAACAAATGTAGGTACATGGCTGCTTTCATTCCATTACAGATGAGAAAGACTTTAATCCAACAGGAGTTATCAGAGGAAAATTGTCTTAGGCTGGGTTCTCTAAAGAAGCAAAACCAGTAAAGCATGTAAATATATATAGAGAGAGATTTACATCAAGGAAATAGCTCACGCAGTTGTAGAGGCTAAAATGTCCCAAGTCCATGGATCAGGGTAGAGGCCTCTCACAATTCATGGAGCCACAGAAGCTGGGGAACCCAAGGTCGGCAGGTTGGAGAGGGGCTCTGGCTCCCAGGCTGTGAAGGTCAATGAATTCCAAGATCAGCAGACAAGACTGCAAGATTTCTCCTGATTCACGTAGCTGCAGGGGCTGGCGAACCCAAGGTCAGTAGGTCGGGGAACTGGACTTTTGCTCCCAGGCTGAGAAGTTCGATGAATTCCAAGATCAACAGGTAAGCTGCTAGCTCAAGTCCCAAGAACCGGAGGTGAGACAACAAGAGTCAGCTGCTGAGTCTGGAACAAGCCAAAAACCTTGACAAGGCAAGCAGGCAGAAAGTAACCAGTGGAAAGCAGAAAGATGAAACTGAGGGGGCGGTGAGCTGACACAGGCTTCGCTTCCGCCAGTACCACTCAGTAGATTCCATCATGGGGTTGATCACTATATTATACAACTGCTAAAACACTGAGAATAATGGCCTAGCCAAGTTGACCTACAATCTTAACCATCACAATGATTCTCTAAAGCAGGGACTGTTGGTGAATTTAATTCCTTGCCACACTGGGGTTTGCACAAGTGTCTACAATAAGACTGCCAGATGTCTCATTTGGGGTTAGAACATAGCTCTTTTAAAGTTTCTTCAATTTCAGTAGAGGTCCATTAATATTTAAACTCGAGTTTCAATAGCTGTGAAACCCCATCTAAGGTTAAATGCACAAACCCAGTCTTTTACAGGTTCTCCTTTACAAAAGGTGCCAAGAATCCCAAGAAATGTTTGTGTATATCTACAAATAAGTCCTTTTACTGGAAATGGGGAAAGGTCCTTATTATTTTCCTATCGTTGCTGTAACAAATTACCACAAGTGAAGTGGCTTAAAACAACACAATTTATTATTTTACATTCTGAAGGTCGTTAAGTCCAAAACGGGTCTTATGGAGTTAAAATCAAGGTGTTAGCAGAGCTCTGTTCCTGCTCGAGGCTCTGGGGGAAGAGTTGGTTTCCTTGCTTCTTCCAACTTCTAGAGGCTGCCTGAATTCCTTGGCTCACGGCCTCTCTCTTCATCTTCAAAGCCAGTGGTGTAACATCTTCAAATCTCTCTCTGACCTGTGCTTCCATCCGTACGTCACCTTCTCTGCCTCAGGTCCTCCTGCCTTCATCTTACAAGGACTCTTGTGATTATATAGGGTCCATTTGGATAGCCCGGGAAAATCTCCCCAGCTCAAATGCCTCGACTTAATCACATCCACGACGTCCCTTTGCCGTATAAGGCAACATATTCACAGGTTCTGGGGATTAGAACGTGGACACCTTTGGGGGGTATTATTCTGCCTACCAGAGACCCCAAGAGCTCCCAGATATACCCCTCCTAGCCACAACCTGCTCTCTGCACATGGGCTCCTGTGGAGCCGGGACTCTTTCAAGCCCTGGTGCCCAGGGAGTGGAATGCTCCTCCTACACCTTAAAGTCAAAGATGTCCAGGTTTGCTCTTATGAAACAAACACATCTGATGTATAAGTTAGGGTGGGCAAGAAGTCCAACAGCAAAGTGGCTTGAGCCCTAAGTGTTACAGTACTTTGTATATACAACCCGATGTAACAATTTTTTAACTTATGTAAATTTTTAAACGAAAGTTGAGAGTACTATAAACACCAATATTCTCACGATTTTGATTCAACAGTTAACATTTTACTTTTTTCTGCTTCAGTTAAAAACTTCAGCTCTAACTCCCCAGCATGCATATCCTAAGAATATTATTCTATATAACCACAATATCATAATCAAAGGAAAGAGAATTAATAATAATCCCGTTTTTGTTAGCTGCCATGGAGTCAGCCCTCCAACTCATGGCGATTCCATGCACAATTAATTGGACTGTTGTGATCTATAGGGTTTTCACTGGCTGATTTTTGCAAGTAGGTCGCCAAGTCTTTCTTTCTAGTCCATCTTAGTCTAAAAGCTCTGCTGAAGCCTGTTCATATCATAGCAACACGTAAGCCTCCACTGACAGAAGTGTGCCCTACCTTTGGGCTGACAGAACAGCACACTTGTATGAAGGCCAGGCCATTCGCTTACTATTATGGACTCTCTTCTGAGCTTCTGCTTCCTCATTGTAAAATTGGGACACTACCATCCTTCCCAGGGCTGTCCCACACCCTGACTGCCTCCAGGGGGCAGTAGCGGTTCAGTGGTAGAATTTTCAGCTGCGCTCCATTGGGTTTTCTTGGCTGTGATCTTTATGGAAGCAGATTGACAGGCTTTTCTTATGCAGTACCACTGGGTAGGTTCAAACAGCCAACCTTTAGGTTAGTGGTGGTGTTGGGTGCCGTCGAGTTGATCTGAGTCAGCGACCTTACGGGACAGAGTAGAACTGTCTCATAGGGTTTCCTAGGCTACAATCTACGGGAGCAGATCACCATGTCTTTTATCCCGTGGAGCTGCTGTTGGGTTCGAACTACTGACTTGTCAGTTAGCAGGAGAGCCATCAGGATTCCTTACCAGGTTAGTAGCCAAGTACAAACTACTTGTGCCACCCAGGGTACTGCAGAAGAAAGGCCTGTCACCATGAGTTGGACTTGGCGGCAATGGTTTTTTGTTTATTGGCCTAAAGCGTCTGAAAACGAGACCTTCTGATGGTGGGCAGAGGGTGTGAGAAAAGTAGTCCTTCTGTTTTTCACCTCCTGCCCTGTTTTTCTGGTGTTCTCAGTAGTGTCAATAGCTCTAGTGCCTAAAAGCTGACTCTCCCAGTTTTGTGCTCTCACATGCATTACTGCATTTAATCCTTGTGGATACCATGACTTGCTCCCTTTCTACAGATGAGGACACTAAAGAGAGGGAAGTCACTTGCTCAAAGCCTCACAGCTAGGAAGTGGTGGAGCCTGGATTCAAACCAAATTCTTCCTGACCCCAGTCTCTAGTGCCTTACACGGGTCTGATGACTCTCAGCCCTGCCCTTTTCCAGGGAGCTCTGAGTAATTCCTAAGGCCCCACTTTTCTCCTGCCTCCAAAACGATGTATCCAGACCAGCTTCTCCATAATCTGCCCACCTAAGAATAAAAACAGCTAACATGCGAAGTGCATTGTCCCAAGCACTTTACGTGTGTTAACTCATTCGATCACATTCTACTTTCATCATTTTACACATCAAACAAGTCTAGAGATGTGAGTGGCACAGCTGGAATGTGAATCCAAGCACATTTTAACCACTACCTAATTTACAAAGAAACAGATCCTTTTAGTCTTGGCTAACCTGGCCAAGACTAAAATAAATTTAGATATACCAAAACCCACTGCGATCAAGTCAATTCCAACTTACAACCCTTTAAGATAGAGTAGAACTGCCCCACACGGTTTCCAAGGAGCAGCCGGTAGATTGCAACTGCCGACCTTTAGTTAGTACTCATAGCCCAGAGGTGCCAAAGATTTCTGGTTGCCTATCCATGCTGCCTTCTAACTTTCGTGGCTGAAGCCACTTGACCCCACCCACTCATCAAGCCAACACTCCCCCGACTCCTGCAGCAGCCAGGCTCTCAGCAAGGAACCTAAGGAGCCCTTCTCCCTGAACTATGAGCCCTGAACATGGTCTTGCCCTGAGCTTGTCTCTGATTCTAGTCCCTCACATCTGAATCCCGGCCAGGGGGCCAAATGTCACATCCAGATGTCCTGCTGCCAGACTCACATAGCAGGGACCCGAGACAAGCCAAGTTATCATGGTAGGACCAATCTCTCCAAGGTTTTTACTTTTCTCACAAAACCTTTGTAGATTTGAGTTACTCATAATGGGGTCAACAACAGTAAGACAAATTGGGGTACTAGTATGCTCAGACAGGGACAGGCAGCCTGGTATAAGCAGCTAAGAACCCAAATCCAGGCAGACCAAGCAAGAGTTAAAAAAGCACAGTAATAAATACAAGACTGATGAAGTTATTTAATTACACAGGAACATACTATGAAACAAAGTGGTTACATAGTGGGTAGATGACGACTTCACTTTTGATTAAAAGTGTTAAGACGCATAGAAAAAACCAGGGTATATATATCAAAACATCAAGTGTTATGATCTGTTCCGTGATAAAATATTCTTCCCTGTGCTTTTGTGTATTTTTTGCAACATGATTATTTCTGAAACAAAAAAGGTAAACAGGTTACTAGAGAAAAAGTTAAACTAAATGCCAAGAATGAGGACCCCAAGAAGCCAAGGAAGGAACCCAGCAGTCAAAGTCTGAAATCCAGGACAGGCCAGCCAGAGGCCAGCAGTCAGGCCTAGACGGGGAAGAGCATTTTCTTTCCCCTCCAGGATGTATTATCAGCCTGTTTCCTCCACATTTATGTTCTCATCAGTGTACACTGAGGCACTTATACTTAACGGCCTCTGTAGGAATATTTATTGGCACACAGAAAAATGATGCCAGCAACTTTGGCTTTGAGTTGCTATAAAATATAACTATTTTATAGTTAACATACTACACAAAACACAGTAGAAACCAAATGCTTCTAGAACAAAAATCTGACTAAACCACTGGCTTTTGCCACTTTTTTGACCTGTTTATTTTCACTGTACTGTACATTTACTTTTGTTTCATGGATCTGGAAGAGATACTTTTTCTCACAGACACTAACATGAATGCATGTTGAGCAGTGGCTGTGTGATGGCCCGGTTATAAGGCTACATTAATAGTTAGCCATGTCTTCTAGGCGCTCTGCAGAATCGAAAGTTTGCCAAAATCCAAACCACCCTGAAATGAACTGATTTGAATGAGGAGTGTCGCCATCCTTGTGTCTTTACTAGGTTACCAAATATAGAACACAGCAGAATAGCAAATCCGTATTGGTGTAAACGAGGTTCCTAAATCCCAGATTCCCCTCCCCACCCCAAAATATTAAGACTGCTAGGGGCACTTTATTTAAATGACAATGACAATCCATTTCTTGCTCGTAAAAAAAAAAATTAAGAAAGGTTCATATTTTAAAACGTATTAGCAGTATATAAAAATCAACACCACTTCTAACCAAAGATACTCCCTAGATATTTCCCAAAGTTCTCTGCCCTTTTATACGGTAGCATTTTCAGGAGAAGTCAACGACGACTGTTAAGGTCCAAAAAATAAACTGGGACTATTTTTGGCACTACCACCAGCACCACCTGTGTGGAATACTAGGTCACCTGCCTTTTACAGCAAGTTAGCGTAAGTAATTAATTCCACAAAAACCTGCAGACACCAGGAAAAAAAGGCGCAGAAAGAATTATATTAAAACAATAACATAAATCTGAAGGGAAAATATTTAAAATTAAAATATTTTATCATCACAACAAAGACCAAAATATTTCTTTGCCCTTGGGCAACCAAGAAAAATTGAACTGTTTTATATCCTTCCCCCCACCAAAAAAAATAAAAAATAAAAAAGATCTGCTGGAACAGCCCTCAGTGCTTGCAGCCGGTCAATTTATATTCTTGATTAAATCAATCCAAATCCCAAAGGCTACAAAAATTTCCCTGTTAGAGCAACAGGGAGAAAATCCATTTTGGGACAGTTATTGAAGATGAAAGAAGATGTGTCTTCAGTGTGAGAACTGTCTGCTGCCAGGTGATTTCTTGCTGATGTTTTTAAAGATCTTGGACTTCTCAACCTTTCTGGCTTTCTGGTAGCCGAATCCACCACCTCCTCCTCGCTTCTTACATTTGCCTTCACTGCTGTTCACGTCTGAAGGTGAATGTTAAGGAAATCAAGCAATACAAAGATAATGAACTCCAATCTAACATCTCCATAGAGGAAAAAACATGTACACTATTGTCCTCCTACCACAGCCCTTCCCTTAGCAATGAAGAGAAAATGTGTGAACACAAGCCTCTGTGATAAACTACCAGAAAATCAGGAGTAGCCACATGATTGGGGACTAAAATTAGGAATGTAAAAGTCACATTACTTATTTTCTCCACACAATGTGATTCAAGATAATTACTTATATAAACAGGCAACTTAGCAGGAATCTATGTGAACACATTAAGAAAAAGTCCCTATTATCAAAACAAATGACTTTCACTTCTGTTTGGAACTGATCCGGGAATGCTTCACGAAGTGATAGAGCTTTCTTCCCTTCATATAACTCAATATGCTACTTACTAGAGCAGACATTTACTAAATGCCTACGATAGGGAAAGCCACCCAAAATTTGGTCTTCTTCCCTCAGGCATTACTGCCAGAACACTGAAAACTGGTGTTTAGCGCTTTAGCTTGTTTTATCTGATTCAGTTTCTTCTGTAGATCTGATAACAAAGCACACATTATAAACTGCAACAGAATCAACTGGAGGCATTCTCTTTGGCTTTATCTTGTGCCACACTTGAGTTCTGTTTTCTTTTGCTGACCTTGTCTCTTGTCTAAAACCCTTCAATGGCTCTAGGAGAATAAAAGTGTGTTGAAATGTCCCCTCCTCTCTTCAGCTTCAGATACAACCATGTGAGCCCTATTACTTTACCCCTCTGTACTTCAGCCTAGGCACAGTTACATGCTTGACTGCTAACTGCAATGGAAAACCCTATGGAGCACAGTCCTACTCTGCAATAATGGGGTCACTGTGCATTGGAAATGACTCAACGGCAACTGGTTTGGTTCTTTTTTTGTGCTTCTGCCTGGAATGTACAACTTCCCCTGGCTTCTAGTTTCTGCCGTTCAAATTTCTTTGTCCTTTTTAAGGCCTGAGCTATAGGCACTTAACCTGTCCTGTGCTCACAAGGACAAGCAGCCATTCACCAGGTGAGCACCCAGGCTTCCAGTCCTCAGCCACAGACCACCAACCCAAGTGCTACGACCAAAGTCACTTGTGTCAAGCTTTTATCCCTTAGTTCTTGGATGAATTCATAACAGAAAAAAAAGGATACTAAGATCAACGAAAGGAGGCACCTTGAAACCAAATGACAGAGCAACTTGAGGCAAATCTAAATTATTAACGTTAAAGATTTGTTTCAGAGAATGGGAATCATATGCTCGAATGTATGACTTATATGCTTCCTGGGCTGACTTATGAAGGAAGTAGTTCTTTTCAATCAGTTGTTCAAGCTGAAATGGAAAGAAACATTGATTTTAATAAAATAAAAACTGTCATTTGCCCTAAACATGTAGATTTCACACACCACAGAACAAAGCCATCCCACAGAAAACATTTCTTCAGATCTACTTGCTCCAGGCTTTGGGACATTTGCCAAGTCTTGCTTCAGTAACAACAATGCCAAAGTTCTTGGAAGGCAGGGGATGAAACAAAGTAGTGAGCACAGGAGCATGGTAAACCAGCACAGCAAGATACCATAAAGATCACATAGTCCAAACTCTTCAGTCTATGAAAAGTGGAGACTCAGAGGACAGTGACTGCCCATGGAAGCACTAGAAAGGCAATGCCAGGACTCTTATAAACGCAAAAGAAAAAAGAGCATACCTGAGACTGAATATCAGAAATTTTGGACCAGGAAAACTCAAATTCACTTAGAGGAACCTAGAAAACAAAGTATAAAGGTTAAGTGAACCAGGATGGATCAACACTGAAGAGTTTAGATAAATGAAAAATTTTGAGATGAATGAAACAGCTGGGGACATGATGGAGCCTGGGCAGTGGTGGTCTTGACACAGCTCATAGGTACTGAAGGCCAGGAAGGACAACCAGGCCTGTGGAATTCCCTGGGACAGTCATTAAAATCTGCTCCTCTAGGCTCCCAGCATTCTGGAGGTTCACACAAATCATGCTAGCGAACAGGCATTTCTTTCTTCCTGAAAGGAAAGGCAAGGCAAGGAATTGGGCAGGGACACTGAGTTGGTAAAGCACTTTTAGCTAAATAAGGATCTCTATGATCCTGATTATTCGGAGTGATGAAGCATTGTTATGGATGGAACGGTGTCCCCTCAAAATGTGTTGGAGCCCTGACCCCTATACCTGAGGATATAATCTCCTTTGGGAATAGAGTTTCATTGTGTTAATGGGACCATGACAGTGTGGAATGTGCCCTAATCACCCGTGGGGGTGGGGGTGGGGGTGGGAAGGAGTATATCACATGGAGATGGCTGAAGAATTGAGAACGCCAGGGCTGTAGAAGCTGAGACAAGGATATTAAGGATCCTTCCCCAGAGTCCACTGAGAGAGCCTTCCCCTAGAGCCAGTGCCCTGAATTCAGACTTCTAGCTTCCCAAACTGGGAGAAAATAAATTCGTTCTTTAAAGCCAGGCACTTGTATTTCTGTTATGGCAAAACTAGGAAACTAAGACAAGCAGGAGAGCTGCTCTACCACCACACTGCCCTGCGACTACAAACTTCTACAGGAAGGATTTGCTATCATTCATCATTTACTAGATACTGCTAAAGCGCCCAGCCCTGGGCACCTTGCCCAGAGAGCTTGTGTCTGTGGGGCAGACAGATGAGTGAAGAAGTGATAACTCGATGAGTACCAGGTGCTCAGGAACATAAGGGAGGGGTAGCAGAGATGGCTTCCCTGGAGAGACAACACCTAGCTCAAATGGAAGCATCCTAGACAACCAAGAAAAGGGCATTCTAGAGAAAATGTGCATAGGCCACAGGTAATTTCAGGGAGCTGCCTGTAAAGAGCTGGTGGAGGCACCTCCATCTGGCTAGACTATATGAGGGAGGCTGAGAAGGCAAATATCAGGGCAGAAAAATAAGACCTGACAGGTGTTCACAAAATCTAGCATCAAAAAGGCCAAGGATGATTCTGAGGAATTCAGTTTTAGTGGAAGGGAATGAGGTCAAAGCCAAAATATCGTGGGCTGGGGATTGAATGGGAGGCAGTCTGGGAAAAACAGAACCACTCTTCCAAAAGGGCAGACTTAGGAAGAGCAATAGGCAGTAGCTGTACTAAAATATAGGGGTATGGAGATGGGTTTAGGGTTGAAGTTAGCCTTTTCACAGTGAGAGTCCTGAGATGGTAAAGAGCTAACTGCGAGTGAGAGACTCTAGGTAATACATGAACCTCGATGAATAAGGGACAGAGGAGGAAGAGGCAGGAGTCAATGGCGACCCCCACTTCAGCTGAGGTAGGAGGAAAAGGTATTAGAATGAAGGAGAAAACAGTGGGGCGAGGGAGTGGAGCAGGAGGTGGAGATGATCAGGTGTTGAGGAGCTTCAAGGGAGTGGAAAAGGTTTCAAACAGGGCTGTAGCAGTGGGAGAAGAGGCTGGAGACACAAGAGGCACGGCTGAACAACACAGAGCTCAAGGCCAAGCCATTGGGCAGCTTTCTGTCCACACCTCCTGGGCCAACACCACATACCATCTCACTTGCTGAACTGTTTCAATAGCACTGCACCAACTCACTCTTCTGACACATTAAGAAATGGCACTTAAGGCCATCTGCATTGGCAAATAGCCCCTACAAGAGGACTCTGTTTCCACTGAAGAGTTTCCAGGCCAAGATCTTTACCTTGGATTGCTTCAAGTAACGAAGGAAACCCAATTCTTCTGGGCGCAAAATGAGCAAGGCATGCCCTCTTCCATTTAGGCCTCTGGCTGTTCTACCCACACGATGAATATACTCCTGTAGTGAGAAAAGATAACCTGGGTTAATGACGACTCCCACACACCCTGTTAACAATGTATTTGCATTTTCAGGATGTACGTGGTGGTCAGAGGACAGTCAGAACATCTGTATCCAGCCAGTGCAGATGTTTCCCCACAGGGCTGTGTCACAGAGACCCTACACTATAAAGCTATTCCTCTACTTCTTCTGGCACACACCACCCCAAACAGGTTGTTAACAGCGCAATGACCAAGGCCAAAGGAAGGCTGGACATGAAGGTCACATTAACACTATCACCTAATAAGTGTGCTTCATCTTTCAAATGCTCCCCACCCATGGTAAATGCTAGTTGACAATTTATATAATCCATTGTTTACTGAAAATACTTTAGTGAAGCTTCTACTACAAAACCACATCCATCTCTTTAATTTCCTTCTGATGTCTGTTGCTCTTAACAGATCACCCCAAGGATGTAACATTCTAACTCAGTCCCGATACCTCTTAAATGTCCATGCACACACACCTCTAGGTCCTGTGAAGCCCTACCTACTTAGCACCAGAGAAATACTTCAGTCACTGTGCAGCATAACACAACTTGAATAACTAAGGGATAAACCTCTTGTATGTAAAATGTAATTATTTCTCAGGGAACCCAGAGACGAAGTATACCCCTTAAGGTAGAACCTAGAGAGGAAGTGCACCCCTTAATGTAGAACCCTTCTAGAGAAAGCCCAAGGATGCCAATTACCTTGGGGTCATCTGGAGGGTCATACTGAACAATCCAGTCGACTTCAGGAATATCCAGACCTCGAGCTGCCACATCTGTACACAATAATATCCCCGAATCTGCATTGCAGAATTGAAAGAATGTGGTTGTTCTCTTATTTTGCTTCTGCCTTCCCTAGAATAAGATAAAAACACCCATTAGAAGAGCTTAACCTGTTTTATTTCAAGTTCACTCCCCGGCCTATGTGGATGGTATCTCTCACTCTTTTGTAGCCCTCTCCCCTCCCTGCCCAACACAGCTCCCTGTACACAGGATCGATATCCAGTGTTGACCAAAATACTTAGAACTAAGTTTAGAGGAGAGAGCAATACCGCAATCCCCATAATCTATACAGCTTGACAAGCATAACCTGTTTAAACAACAACAAAAACTCATCATCACTTACATGAATGGCCAAGACATGCAAATCAATGTAGTTCAGCAGCTCATAGTGGTATTTAACAGACTTGCAGGATGAAAAGAACACCATTAGTTTCTTCTTTCGGTTTTTTTTAAGGAATGTAAAGAGCAAAAGGAATCTTTTTTCAGAGGCACAAACAACGTATCCCTAGAAGTGGTTCAAGTGAACAGATACAAATTTATCAGACAGACATTTTCAGCTTCATGAAACGGTATAACTTTATAGAAAACAGATAAATACAGTATTGCATACATACTGCCACTCTGAGCTAGAACAAAACTGCTGCCTTGATTATAACAAAGTGTTCCTAAAATAACTTTTTCAATGACTTTAAAGATGATTTCTAAAATAAGGCTCATGTTAACTCTCAACTGGCTACAATCACTGACACTTAACACTTTTTTATATAAACCGACAGCCCAAGAGATTCTTGGAATGTGATTAGTAATGTCTTCCACATGGTATGAAGCATTAAATGACAGAGAAAAGAAAGCTGATCAAATTAGAGTTTACAGCACTTCACACCTTGAGTCACACTATGTCCAAGTTCACTATATATGAATTAAAAGTTCACTAACCCATTGGTTTTCTAGATGATCTGCAAAATAATTACAAGGAATCACCAAATTAGACCCTTTAAGGTTAAGATATGAATGGAAAGTACCTGCTCAAGACCATCCACTGTTGCATTGGCCTTATCATCGTCAACACCAACATACAAGGGCTCCTTTTTCAGAGAAATCCTTGCCAGGTCTTCAACTTTTCGAGTTTGTGTGGCAGAAAAAAGCATGGTCTGTCTGCGTACTGATACATATAAAAATAATGCAAACCTGTTAGGAAATCTTCATCTCTTCATAACTGTAAGTACCCTATGTAGAAACACGAGGACTGGGAGCCATGACGTCACTACAGATTCTACAGATAAGGGTAAGATGGGAATATCACCAACAACTTTATGACTATTATATGTTTGACAACTTGGAAGAAATTGATAAATTCCTTGAAAAACACACTGTTAAAGCTCACTCAAGAAAAAAACAGAAGACTCGAATAGCCTTATAGCTATTAAGAAAATTATAGTTAACATCTTCCTGTAAAGCTGTAGGCCCAAACGGCATCACCAATTCTAAACAAACTCTTCAGGAAATCAAAGAGGAGAATTTACTTCCCATCTCATTCTTTGAAACCAGCATTACACTGTCTTGAACTAAACTGTGTCCCCCCAAAAATATTTATTGGAATTCTAATCCCCATACTTGTGGGTGTAATCCCATTTGGGACTAGGGTCTTCGTCATGTTAATGATACCACATCAGTGTAGGAGTGTCCTAAGCCTAGACACTTCTGAGTTATAAAGAACAGCACAGACACAGAGACAAGCAGGTGGAACTCACCAAGGAACTGAGGAACAGCAGGGTTACAGAAGCTGAGACAAGGATCTCCCCCTAGAGTTGACTGAAAAAGAGCCTTCCCTACTTCTGAGTTATAAAAACAGCAGAGTAGCTACATGACCAAGCATATATAAGGGGAAGCTATTTGAAGACAAAGGAGGCAGATGAATGAAATCTACAAGCCCATGAACTCCAAGAATTGTAGTATGGGGCAGTTCTACTCTGTCCTATAAGGTCCCTATGAGTTGGAAAACTTGACAGCATGCAACAAAAGCTAAACTAGATACAGAAGGATCTCCCTAGAGCTACACACTAAATCAGATTTCTGGCCTCCTGAGCTGTGAGAAAATATGTTTCTGACGTTTAAAGCTGCCCACTTGTGGTATTTCTGTTACAGTAGCATTAGCAAACTAAGACACTCTCCCAACCAAAATCTTACGACGACATTACAACTACAGACCAATATACCTCAAGAACGTAGGTATCAACACTTATGAATAAAATTTTAGCAATACATAAAAAGGATAATACTTTATGACCAAATGAAGTTTATCCTAGAATGCAGGGTTGGCTTAACATTTGAAAATCAATCAATATAATTCACCATACCAACGAACAAATTAAAAACGAAAAACCATCTGATCATTTCAATAAACACAGAAAATGCATTTAACAAAATCTAACAAATATTCCTGATAAAAACCGTCTGGAAACTAGAAAAGACTCTTTCCTAACCTGATAAAAGGATATATACGAAAAACCTACAGCTAAAATCACAGTTAATGGTGAAAAATTGAGTGCTTTCCCTCCTAAGATCAGAACAAGACACTGATCTTAGTGTCCACTCTTGCCACTTCTATTCAACATTGTATTAGAGATTCTGGCCAGTACAACCAGGCAAGAAAAAGTTAAATGAACTGAATCTGTATTTGTAGATGACATGATCGCCTATGTAAAAATCCAAAAGGCTAGGGTCATCTGGAGGGTCATACTGAACAATCCAGTTGACTTCAGAGACACAATATTGAAAAAAAAAAAAAAATCATATTTTTACATACGAGTAAAGAACAACTGGAAATTGAAGTTAACAGAAGGCAACAAATCTAAGGCTACCTGTGGGATGTTAGATGAGATTATAATAACTAACATGAAGAGAAAGAAATAGACATGTATTAAGACTGTTTAATTTGCATTAAAATCTCTAAAATGTCAAACTACCATAACAAGTTACTATTAAATGCCTTGCTGGCGAAATGGTTAAATGCTCAATTACTAACTGGAAGGTTGGCAGCTCCAACCCACCCAGAGGCACCTGGAAGAAAGGGCTAGCAACTGAAAACTCTGGAGGAAAGTTCTACTCTACACACATAGGGTCGTCATGAGTCGGAACTGACTTGATGCCTATAGGTTTTTCTGTGGCAGTTTGATGCTTGCATTTCAAACTATACCTAAGGCTGACTGACACAACTGCTTCATCTATCATACAATTTTCTATCAACATACAGTTTTCCTGTAGGAATGACCCTCGGCTACCTCCAGTAAGTACTTTGCAAGGCTCATGCAAATGCTACCTACTAACCTGGTATAAGTTTAATAATTTGCTTTAATTCCTCTTCAAATCCAACATCCAAGATACGATCAGCCTCATCAATAACCAGACACTGTAGGTTTTTATACATAAACCCTGGGGTATTCTAACAAGACAAAGGACAGAGAAAAATTTGTAAGTTGTCAAGTTTATGTTTCACACAAAATGAGACAGGCACACCTAACAGTGTTCTTTTACCTGCATGTGGTCCAAGAGGCGGCCTGGTGTGGCCACAATGATGTTGATCCCGTTAGCAAGTTTCTGTGCTTCAGCAGATCTGTTACTGCCCCCCATGATCAACCCATATGTGTGAACGTGGTGCGTCATCAGCTCCTTTAGCACACCAAAAGTCTGCATGGCCAGCTCCCTGGTAGGTGAGAGAATAAGAGCTCCTGTTCCTAAAAAGCAAAAAATGATATAAATAGTAAAAGTCAAAGTTGGTTGTCATCACAAGCCTGTAACAGCTACAAAATAAAGTTCTAGTGAGATAACGAGAGAAACAGATACAAATCTTACCATTCCTGGGCATAAATTTTAATTTAACAATGAGTTCAACTGCAGGGATGAGAAATGCAAGGGTTTTGCCACTGCCTGTTTTTGCAGCTGCTAGAAGATCCCTAAGTATTAAAAAGGGAAAGAAGGAGAAACACACTTAGTGCACTCACTCAACAAGCATTTTTGGAATACATACCATGTACTATGCATGTAATATGTTTTAGGAACCCAGGCTACAGCACAAATAAGAAAAAGCCTTTGCCTTCTTTGTCACTGATCAATCACCTATGTTATATACTGTACCTGCTTCAAGAATAAAAATCATGATACAAAACAGAAATGAACACCTTACTCCAAACATTCATAAATAAGGCTTTTAAGGAAGGTTGAACCATAACTCAATACATAATGCAAATGAACAAGCGCACACTGATATTTTCTTTGCAATCTACTAGCACTAAAAACAAAGACACCAGTGCCTAAGTGCTGATGTTAGGCGTACCTGCCTTCCAGAAGTGGTCTGATACTTTTATGCTGAATTTCAGTCATGTTTCTAAAGCCCATTTCTTTTATCGCCTTCAGAGTGTTTTCATTGACAAGATTAGTTAGAGAAGTAAATGAAGTATCCTCAAAAGCTCCTAAACAGAAAACAGTTCAACATTAGCAAATTTTTTTTTTTTTTTAAGTTAACACTGATATATTTGCCAAAGTGATTAGTTTTGATAACTGAAGGCATTACTGGGTTGAGTCAAGCTCATAAGAGCGTCTTATAGCAAAAGACTAAAACCCCCGATCGCTGGCACATGGTAATAATAAGAAATAGTAAAAACAGTAAGAAAATCTTTTGAAGTTTTTCCATTGCTGATGGCTATTTGATTTAAAGTCCAGAGCCTACAGTGTAACAAAGGAAAAATGGGTGGAGGAGAGGCACAATCAAGGGACTTAATTATAACTAACTGAGCCAGTATGAAACCTCCAGGCTTCCCAGCCTGTGATTTTCCCATTCCATCATGGAATGAGTGAGTTTTAGAAGACAACAAAGTAAAATAACCAGGCATCCTAGAAACTATTTGTGTACGTATGAAAATATCAGGAGTAGAGAAAGGGAAAATATAGAGAAAGAAACATGAAGAACTAAGGTACCACAAAGTGGAAGATAAAAAGAAAAAATAGCAGGAAGACATAAAAACATGTCTTGTCAACATTTACTTTTTTCCACTAAAAGCCACAGTGGAAATATCACACCGTATAATCTAGAGAGGACTGACATTTTTAAGAAAATATATCTCGAAAACTTTCTGGAAGCTACCTGTGAGTCCCAGGGGCAGGCCGGGCACTTCGCTGTCATCTTCGTCACCTGGCTTCTCCACCCTTGTTTCTGCTTCTGCAGGAGCCTCGGCATCACCTTCTTCAGATGCCTCTTCGTCTTCAGCTTTTGCTTTTTTTATGTCTTTGGTTTTAAAGGATAAAACACAATTTAAAAAACACCAAATGAGATCACAAAATAAAAGACTTATGATGCAAAAAGGTTATGAATTCATTTCCCAAAGCTCAAAACATATCCAGTTTTAATTTGCTAAGAATCTCTTTTTCAACAGACTAAAACTTGTTTCATCTGTGTAAAGATTTGCTTATACTTAAAAACCCAGAGTACATATAGATCTGCCAACAAAAAAAAATTTATTTTTTAGGTTTTCTAATACATTGTACCTTCTCTTTAAGTAACAGAAAATTTTTTTTTTTAAGTTCATCTAAATAATTTAAGGAAACTAATTACACCAAATTCCATACACTTCATTGGGAAAAAAACAAACCAAAACAAAAAACAGGCACATCTGATTAACATAATGGTTTTTTAAAACTCATTACAAGCACTGACTTTTCCTCCTGTGCTCATTAAAACATCGATTTTCTATAAAACCTATTTTGCTTTAAAGATGAAAGAAAAAAACCAACAAGCAGTAAGGAAGGATTTTAGGCATAAAGAGAACAGAAAAACCAAAGACTCTTCAAGAAACTAGAGATAGACAATGAAGCAAGGGCAGCTAGCTGGGTGATATAAAACGAAATGCTCCTTGGTTGTAAGTGGCAAGGGGGACGAAAGGTAAGGCCTCCTCCTAGCTTCTTACTTCTACACTGAATAGTCCACAATGTGATCCTAAACCACCTTTCCAGCCTGACCTCCTACTACTTTCTTAAATACTCCACTCTGGGTCAAATGGGTTAACCAACATAATGGGCTTTTTCAGAAATGTATGGCAGTTAGTGATGCTAGTTAGAACAGAACTGATCTAGACCAGAACTCAGGGCTGGCCTCTCGCCTGCGCCTTACTGTCTTCCTTCTGGGAACTGGCCAACTCTGCAGGGCCCATATGTTCAAAAGCCACAGGTACTATGAGCTGGTCTTCATGGCTCATCACTTCTCTTTCCTCAGAATAGTTCTTAAACCTTAGTACTAGAATTAAATCTCCCACCTGTGATTCAATGCTTGAATGTAGAAATTATGCCTCTGGCATAGTACAGTGAGAACCCTAAAGGCAACAATCATTTTAGGTTAAGCTTACACTTACTTCAATTCAGAACTGGAATTCCTAATCTGCATGCTTTCCCTGCTTATTTAAGCAGTTTCTTGTAACCCACAAACGTGTTAGTTTATAGGCTGCATGAAGACAGCCAGGCATACTTGGAAAAGTTCAACACTCTTTTCTAAACAAAACCTTCATTTCAGATGAGATAGATAATTAGGATATTCTCATCTAGAAGTCAACAAACTTTTTCAGTGAAGGGCCAGATAATAATATCTTAGGCTTTACAGGCCATATGGTCTCTGACTGAACTTTGCTGTTGTAGTGGTCAATGTAGCCATAGAGATAAGAGTCCTGATAGTCTGCTGATCCCTGTCCTATGCTACCTCTGAATCTCTGCTTGTTCTCACTGCAACTAACATGTCTCTTCCTTCACCTGAGCTCATTCAAATCCATTCATCTTCAAAATAAATAAAAAGCACCCCCCAACACCATCCTGCTCATTCTACTCACTTGCAAATTAACATTTCATGATATTTTACATACTTTACACATCTAAATTATCACTAAGTCTCCTTTCAGGGGAGGGGTAATTTGTTAGGCAAAAGGAAGGAATGGGGTAAAAAAGTGAGAAGAATCATTAATGCAAAGTCCCTTGATACATACAGGCTGGGGAAGACAGAATCTATTGTCAGCCCAGATTTCTTTAGTGTTAGTAATTCCACACTCCTGTTAGCAAACAAGTACCCTAAAACATTGCTATTCTGTGTTTATTATAAAACACCCAGCTAATGGCCAAAGAGAAAAGCAAAATTTCTGGAATTCCAAGGAGACTGTTAATCTAAGTGTGGTGTTTTCTTCAGGGCTGTTAGGTAATGTAAAAGCATGATACAGCTCAATATTAAAACAAAAACAGTTAATCTTTTGTCCCCCAATAAAAATGTTACTTTTGGCTACCAGGCTAATTTCTGGTGTCCTGGTAAGGACAGGGGATTCTTGTGTGTCACATACATATACAGTAATAATAACAGATGGAACGTGGAGGGGTAACTGAAATATTGAATGGCTGAACTTCAAAGACAACAAAGTACCTACCAGGCCCAGCAACATCCTCCATTTTTCTCTTTTTCTTCTTCTTTTTCTTTTTTGATTCTGAATTGGGAGGCTGTGTTGTTGCTTCCCCATTGGTTAAAATGGCAAATTTCTTGGGGGATTTTTTAATTTTCACCTTTTCCAGTGTTTCTTTAGGCATGTCTCCATTTTGGGCTTCTGACAAGCCTGCATTCATACACTGTTTTACGGATTTTTTATCTTTTACACCTCCCACTGTTTCTTCACACACATCTCCATTTTGGGCTTCTGACAGGCTCATACCTGAGGCCCCTGTTTAAAAACAATAAAAATTATGACAAAGAAAATGTTTACTTAGAAACAATGAAATCTCAACCAAGAAATTCTATGGCTTTCAGAACTGAAGTTATTTAGCTTTTTCTTCCCCTTCATGTACGTTATTAAAACCACGTACAATTTCATGGTGTTCTAGTACAACAAAAGTATCCTTTAAAGAAAAATGCTGGAAAGGAGAAAGCCTGCACTGAGGTCTTCTCTTCAAAAGCACACATCTCCTTCCCTAAGGAGTTAAGTCTGGGACGGGAAAACTTCAATGAGGTCAGATGGGGTCAGGCAACAGCAGTTATAAAATAAACATATATATTTGATAAACATGACTGACATATTGAAAAAGACACATCTTATTTACACAATTACTGGCTTCTCATATAAATGAAACCTACAAACATTCCACTCAACTTTCCTAGAAAACAGTGAACTGAGTATTTGATGAAACCACTTAATTGTCCGAATATTTACCATACACAAACGCCTCAGAATATCTTTACAAAAGTTCTGTTTATATATAGCAAAACAACATTTAACCAACCACATATTTTATTCAAACTGTTATCTATATCTATATCTATAAATAGTAGCATAACTCAACAGGAACTTGGAAATAATAGTAGAACTTCAAAAATATATTCCTTAAACCCACAAACCAGTCTAGTCACTTCCTCTAGGGTTTATCTGAATACCTACTGGAGTGAGGGCATTTTGCTTCCAACATTGCCCTCGGAGGTTTTCATCTTACTCGGAACTCAAAAGGTTAATGCAATTACTTCAAGATCGCCAGCCTGCTATCAGGAAGTTAGGACTGCAAATGACATTCCTGTAATTCCTTTTCATTTAAGTCTTTGTGCAGTACACTAACAAGTTGCAGCTCTTAAGGAATTTATAACCTAGGGCTGCAAGTGAGAGACTGTGTTCGACGTGCGCAGGAAACTTTTTGAGCTGAAAATCAGAAGTGCTGAAAAACTCAAGGGGTAGGCAGAAGGAGAGAGAGGAAGGAAAACACGAGTATTTTGGAAGGAATACACAAGTTGACGATATGGAAGGAAGGTGGGTGGGGATGAGAAAACACCTGTCTGGCTCGAAATGGGGGCAGGGTGGGGGTGAGGGGGGATCTGAAGGTGGCGAGGGAGTTAGATGGGGAGGGTGGAAATGGAAAAGGCCGGTCTAGATGGGAAGCGCTACCGGAGGCCTAGGAGAAAACTCAGAGGCTTCCTATTCCAACCCTGTGAAGAGAAACTGATGCTCAGGTCAACGGCTGATCGGGGCCAAGTAGCCAGTCGGCATCAGCACGGAACACGACTTAACGCTGTCCCGGGAGGCCTTTCCACGCTCAACAATCGCACGTGTTTTTGGGGAAGCTGCTCGCGCCACACCAGAGGCGCATGGGTTCTTATATACCACGACCCGCGCCGCTCCGCCACGCAGTCGCTCCATGGCCCACGCGTGGGCCTTTTCAGGAACCGTAGCCGCGGGGAGGCCCAGCGCATCTCACCCTGTAGCTTTAGGTTTCGCTGCCGCAATTTCAGGTTCCGCTTCTCGATCTTCTTTCGCAGGAGTTTCATCGGTAGGTGAGACATGATGTCGGAAGAAAGCTTTCACCGCGGCGCCGCAGACCAACTCCTCAGTTTTTCTGGCTGAAGTTACTTCTTCCGGGCCGCACGTGCGCGCCTCGGCCAACCGGAAATACTTCCTGAGACCAGCTCCCGCCCCGTGAGGGAATGCTTCCGGGGCGCGTGCGCGATGGTGCAGTTGGTTTCCGGATCCTTTGCAGCGCCCTCTAGGGGAGCGGAGGCCTGGCCCTGCACCGAGTTACATTGGAGGGAACTGGTGCATATAGAGCGATTGGGAGTTTTGGGAGTATGAGCTACTCGTAGCGGGAAACTGAAGAGACAAGGCCAAGGCGAAGGATTCTCCGTTTTTATGTTCCTACTCTCTTTGGATCCTGGACTATTTGGGAAGTTGAATAAAACTGAATTTCGTGTATCAGTGTTCCAAACTCAAGTTGGACCATGCTCCTCAGTCAGAAATTCACCCCACGCGACTCAATACAGACACACATAAATATAAGAGATTTTCTAAAAACAATACATTTACACTTGGTTCCACTCTGATAATTTTCCTTCCATTCCATCCTAGATTATTCTATTCTTAGTCCACTAAAAATGCTAATCACCATTGTGCGAGGGCACTCTAAAACGAGGTGCTTGGCATGATTAAAAATGACTGCCCTAGATCTGAATCAAAACTCAATTTTTTAAACTAAACTTTAGTCTTCTATTTTAAGTCCTTTTTTATACCTTCTTAAGAATAGAAACTGTGACATATGACTTCTTGTAAAACTTTAACCACCCTCAGCAAACAGTGGAAGGGGCAAAAATGTGGTTTGTGAAGAAATGTTTGTCAGTAAATGTTTGTCAAGATGGTCCCAGGAAAACACTTTTGCAGCTTGTTTCGGCAAAAATATATAGGTAAATGTGTAGAAAATCTCTTGCTAGGTTGGCTCCAGAAAGTCTGTGTTAGAAAATAGATCAGCTACCCTGAGAGTATAGCCCCTGGACACACTTTTAACTCAGTACTGAAGTCACCCTTTAGCCAAAGACTAGGCAGACCCATAAAACAAAACAAGACTAAATGGGCACTCCAGCCAGGGGCAAAGACGAGAAGGCAAGAGGGAGCAGGAAAGCTGGTAATGGGGAACCTAAGGTTGAGAAAAGGAGAGTGTTGACATGTTGTGGGGTTGGCAACCAATGTCACCAAACAATTTGTGTATTGTTTATTGAGAAACTAATTTGCTCTGTAAACCTTCATCTAAAGCACAATAAAAAAAGAAATCAAACCAAAAAAAGAAAATAGATCAGCTAACCTAGTACTATTTTAACTTGCTTGTCTTGTAGCCATGTGTAAACCCAAGCCCCCATGATTGTAGTCACATACTCCCTACCTCATTTTACTGTATAAAAGCCTTGTCCTTTTTTCAATGAGTTGGAACACTGCAATTTTGCTAAGGTTCTGCCCAATTCAAATCATTATATTCCTTCAATAAGACTCTTTTACTTTTAACAGGCTCAGAGATTTTACTTTTTGACACTATACATTTAAATCAATTTTACTACAGCATTAATGGATTGGCTGCAGTTTGGAAAACAGAGGTTTCCAAATCCCCAAAGCTCACCCTCCAGGAGTCCAAGACAAATTGCAATCTTGCTAGCCAGTAGGGATCTTTCTTTGGAAGGGAGAAAGGGAGGGAGGACGTAGAACGTTTAATTTTTAAAAAAATGTGTTACTAACATTAAAAATTTGAGAGAGTTCACATAAAATTTTTTATTAAAAAATTGGCCTCAATGGACTCAAATTCTCCTCGGCAATAATGCATTTGATCTGAATAGGTGCTGAAAGAGTCAATGAAAGCAGGATTAATTTGTATACATGTGGTAGCAGGACAATGAACCCCTAGGTATTAGACATGATCCTACGGAGGAAGGGAGAGGGAGAAATTGGAAGGGAGCTTAAACAAAATGTGAATAAGTTAACTGAAAAATAACATTGAATTGGACTGGAAAACCAAGACAACAAACAAAACAGACAAACCTTGATGTGCTTAGATTAAGTTGTAATAATTATGCAGGTTGAAGAGTGAGCAATAAATTTAAACATACATACACATATACACATACATTATACAATCATATTTTAGTTTAAATATATATGTATATATACATATGCATATGTGTGTGGATGTGTGTTTGTGTGTGTTTGTATTGTCACATGATTACACACCTGCGCATTGAGTCTATAACTTTTAAATTCATATCCATTACTTTTAGGTACAACAACTAGCATAATGTTTTCTGTATTGAAGGTGCTCAAAAAGTATATTTCCTTTCTGTTGTCAATTAAATTTGTGGATCTGCTAATTTTTTGGTAATAATGGAAGCATATTCCCTTTTCCCTACTGTGTGACCCTTTTCCAGCCAATAATGACTCTTTCCCTTGAGGTTTGGCAGAGTCATTTCCACAAGACCACAAAACCCATAGTTTAGGTGTGTCCAAGATGTTTATATCAGGGCAGCTAGTCCCTTAAGCTACGTTAAAATGCTTAATTTTACGGATTGATAACTGTCTTAGGTATCTAATACTGCTATAACACAAATACCACAAGTGGATGGCTTTAATAAAGATAAATTTATTCTCTCACAGTCTAGTAGGTTACAAGTCAAAATTCAGGGTGCCGGCTCAGGGGAAGGTTTTCTCTCTCTGAGGAAGATCCTTGTGATGCATCAGTCTTCCCTTGGTTTGGGAGCATCTCAGCTCAGGAACCTCAGGTCCAAAGGATGCGCTCTGCTCCCAGCACTGCTTTCTTTGTGGTATGAGTTTCCGTGTGTCTCTGCTTGCTTCTCTCTTTTATATCTCAAAAGAGACTGGCTTAAGACACTATCTAATCTTGTAGACCTCATCAGTATAACTGTCGCTAATCCATCTTATTACATCATGGTGATAGAGTTTACTACACGTAAGGAAATCACATCAGATTACAAAATGGTACACAATCATACAATACTGGGAATCATGACCCAGTCAAGTTGACAGATATTTTTGGGGGACACAATTTGATCCATGACAATAAACTTTCAAAGTAATAGCTAAGACTACTGATGCCAATTGTTCTGGATTTTTACGAGAAGCATGAGGGATGATTACTGTCTTAGTTACCTAGTGCTGCTACAACAGAAATGCCACAAGTGGATGGTTTTAAAGAAGAGAAGTTTATTTCTTCACAGTAAAGTAGGCTAAAAGTCCAAATTCAGGGCATCAGCTCCAGGGGAAGGCTTTCTTTCTCTGTCGGCCTTCTCATCAATGTTCTCTCGGACTAGGAACTTCTTGGCACAGGGCCCTGCTCCAAAGGACGCGCTCTGCTCCTGGCACTGCTTTCTTGACGGTATGAGGTCTCCAATTCTCTGCTTGCTTCCCTTTCCTTTTATCTCTTACAAGAGACAAAGGGTGGTGCAAGCCACACCCCAGGGAAACTCCCTTTACATTGGATCAGGGATGTGACCTGAGTAAGGGTGGTGTTACAATTCCACTCTAATCCTCTTTAACATAAAATTACAATCACAAAATAGAGGTCAACCACACAATTCTGGGAATCATGGCCCAGCCAAATTGATACACACATTTTTGGGGGGGCATAATTCAAACCATGACAATGACCTTCCATCACTTATCAAAATTTAGAGTGGGAGTTATTTTAACAGAATTTCCAAGACCAGGTCAGTAGTTACTCTAGCAGACAAACAGGTGTAATTGGGCTGGATACTCATAAAATATCTGTGAGTGTTTCGTGAGATGATAATCATGTGCCTTTGAAAATCCTCTTGGGTCACACTGCTACAGCCTACCCCAGTATCCATTTAATTTATGTTTAAGTCTTTCAAATGTCTTGCTTGGGCCCCTTTTCATGGAGGCATCCTTCCCCAGAATATATTCATTTATCAATTATTCACTCATTTAGCAATTATTTTTTGAGCAGCATTTGTGTCAGGCATTGTGTTAAGTGCTGGAGATAAAATGGTGGACGAAGTAGACATGGCTTACCTTCAAGGAGCCTACAGAGTACTGGGGAAGAGAGAAAATTTAAAAAATTATGGTAAACTATGATGTCATTGTTAGTTGCCTTTGCTTGAGTCGACTCCAGCTCATCGTGACCTTGTGAACAACAGAACTAAAAGCTACCCATCCTGCGCCATCTTCGCAGTCGCAGGTATGCTCAAGTCTGTTGCATTCATTGTGTATTTTGAGTGCCTTTCAACCAAAGGGGCTTATCTTCTAGCACCATGTTGGACAATGTTCTGTTGTGATCCATGGGGTTTTTCATTGGTTAATTTTCAGAAGTAGGTCACCAGGCTTTTTTTCTAGTCTGTTTTAGTCTGGAAGCTTTGCTGAAACCTGTCCACCATGGGTGACCCTGCTGGAATTTGAAATACCAGTGGCATAGCTTCTAGCATCATGCAATATGAAAGCCACCAAAGTATGACAAATTGACACATAGGTGGTCTATTGTACAACTATGATAAGTGTAGTTATTAGGGAAGCACACGATAGGATAAATATCCTAGTCTGGGAATGAGGATAGAGTCTTTTATTTAACACCCACTGTGAATAGGCACTGAGCTGGGGCAGGCAGAAGAGAGAAGGGAGATGCTTTTACTTGCTATCTTGGTCATCTAGTGCTGCCGTAACAGAAATATCACAAGTGGATGGCTTCAACAAAGAGAAATTTATTTTCTCACAGTCTAGTAGGCTAGAAGTCCAAATTCAGGGGAAGACTTTCTCTCTCTTTTGGCCTTCTCATCAATTTGCCCTTGGTCTGGGAGCATCTCAGCACAGGAACCTAAGGTCCAAAGGACATGCTCTGCTCCCAGCACTGCTTTCTTTGTGGTATGAGGTCCCCAATTTTATGCTTGCTTCCCTTTCCTTTTGGCTCTTGTAAGATAAAAGGTGGTGCAGGCCACAACACAAGGAAACTACTTTATATTGGATCAGGGATGTGACCTTAGTAAGGGTGTTATGATCCCACCCTAATCCTCTTTAACATAAAATTACAATCAGAAAATGGAGGACAACCACACAGTACTGGGAATCACGGCCCAGCCAAATTGATACACATATTTTT